TTAAAAGAAAAAATTGTTGAATTATGTGAGCAATATATCAGAGAGCCAAATATTATATTAGCAGTATGTTCTGCTGATATATATTTGGCAAATTCAGAAGCTTTAAAAGCTAGTCGCAAAGTAGACTCTTTAGTTTGCATACTATTGGTGTTATAACAAAAATGGATTTAGTTGAACCAGAAATTGGTGCAAGTATATTAAGAAACACTGATTATCCATTACATCTGGGTTATATTGGTGTTGTTTGCAAAACCCTTAGAAAACAAAAATAATCAAAAAAATATTACATCAGCTTTGATGCAACATGAGGACCAATTTGTTAGGAATAATCATGTGTATAGTCAATGAGGTATCCAAATTGGTACTGGAACTTTATGTAGGAAACTTATGGAAGTGTTGGAGGAAAATATGGCAAAATCATTGTTTTCAATTGTTTCAGCAGTCCAATCAGAATTAGAAGAGGCTTGTTATCAATTTAAAGTACAATATAATTGACAGGTTTGTTACATGATATATATATATACACACACACATATATAAATCTAAATATTTTTTTTTGCTTTGTATATATGCTTCATTAAAAAACTTATTGATGTTGATATTAGACAAATTACAGCAGAATCTTATGTTGCTGAAACCATTGACAGCATTAAACATAATTTCAAAGACTTTGCACATTCTTTTGGAAAACCTCAAGTTAGAAATGAAGTACGTGCTATGTTAGAGCAGAGAGTGCTAGATCTTTGTGCAGAGTTGTATTGGACAGATAAAAGGATTGTTGACTTGCCAAAAACACCGCCCGATGATCTTTATTGGCAATATAAACTTGACATGAGTTCTGCCACACTTACTAAAAGCGGTATAGGAAGAACAAGTACTCAATTAGTAGTAGATGTATTAATGGCAAATATGGAGAAATTAGCATCAATGGAACCACTGAATCATCACCCAGATACTAGTAAAAAAGTGCTTAATTTTAGTAATGAAAATTTACATAACAAATTTCCCCACCACCACTGATCAAGTTGAAAATTGTGTAAAACCTTATAAATATGAAGTTGAATGTAATGAACGAGAATGGGCTGAAGGTTTAAAGAGATCGATTTTACTTGTAGAAAAAGAATTAGAGTATTGTGATAATGTCTTACAACAAATCAAAAATACTGTAGGTAAAAAAAATTAAGAGCTGCAATAAAATATATTCTAGATGGAGAAAAAGAACCAGCTAAACGTGCAAATTTTAAGGCAAAAGAAGGTTCTGTTACAGAAATCAACAAGGAAGTCACAATCACCCATAATATACCATCAGCATCCAATAAAGTTATTGAAGAAAATGAGTATCATTTATCTTGAAATGTAAGGTGCAATTTCTTCACGTTGTTCTTTTTTCAAGATACTTCTATCCATAGTAGACCTAATGTAAATGAGTTTTGTATTAATTATTTTTATATAGGAGTAATTTTATATATCACTTAATATGAAGGAGAAAACAAAGATAACAAACAAATGAAGATTTTAATAATCACTGATCCTGAAATTTTTGGTTCACTTTGTCTGGTTTTGTTGCAGTATGCCCCATATTAGAAAATTTATAAAAATAAGTAAAGTTAAAATTAATTGGGGCATGCTGCAACAAAACCAGACAAAGTGTTAGTGTTACCAAGATTTTAGGGATCAATAATATTGTAATGAAATAAATTATTATTATTATTATATTTTAATATTGTGTGTGGCTGTTCAAATTTAACTAATAACAAGAACACAAAGTTTTGCATGCGTAATTTTTGTTCCAGAAGACTACAAACTGATTTATTGTACTCTTAAAATAAAAAAATTTGTTTATCTGTTTTAGTATAATCAAATGAATCTCGGGTTTTTAGATAATAATTAGAAAATCTGTTCATTTTAATAAAAATATCACTGATACATTTTTAGAATCTAAGTTTAAATATAGTCACACAAACATTTAAAAAATAAACAATTTTTTTCCTTTACCCTCATTGCTATAGTTCTTGTAAAAAAGTAAGTATATTTCTGCATTTATGTTTGTAAACCTGGCATTTCACTGGCCTGTAAAACCTGGGGGGATATGTTCTGCCACTGGAGTTGTCGGTGAAATGGCTTAGAGCGACTTTCAAAAGATATATAATATTCTGGCCGTATCCAGTATTTCACTGGCCTGTAAAACCTGAGGGGATACATTCTGCCTCTGGAGCTGTCAGTGAAATAACAGCATTTTAACACACACAAAGTGTTTAATGCAGTAACCTTATGTTATCTGGAGAATGTTTCGGGTTTAGATGTAATAGTTGTTTCTAAAATTTTACCAACCTTTACTAATTTTTTATATATTCCTTATATGTTTGAGGCATTAATCATGCTTTGTATGGGTTGTATGGTTCACATTTTCTAATTTATTTAAATTTGTTTACAATGTTAATACCTTGTTTTATTTTTTATCAATAGGTTTATGTGGAATTTTTAAGAACCAATTTATTGGAGGATTTTTTTACTGCTGTTAAATTTTTCAAATATTTTCAATTTATGTTTTCACAAAAGAAACATGTGGAGGAAGCTTTATTTAAAGCTTTAAAAACTGTTGCCTCAGAAAATGGTGTTCTAGCCAAGAAAGCAAAAAGCTTTTTAGCTGTTCTTGATGAACATATTCATTCTGCACCCATACAGCAATTTTGGTATAGTGTTTATAGTGTTTATCTACAAAATGAGAAAAATAAAAGTCGTACTGCACAAGCTCTACTGCAAGAACAAGAGGTAAGTTATCTGCATTGTTAATAAGCTCATTGAATTATTATTATTAACTTTTGTTTACTGTAAACAATTTAGATACAGGAAACATGTCATATAAAGTCTAATGTGTTGAAGGAGCATATAATTGAGAGTGATCAAGTATTATTAAAAAAAAGACGAAATACGAGTGATCTTAAAGAAACTAATACAAAATTTCTTCAACAAAAGAGACTCAGAAGCTATTCACCAGTTTATTATGAAGAGAGTTCATCATCCGACTCAGAGATCGTACCTATTTCTCTTATAAATGTTTTTTGTGAAATTTCTGATAAATCTGAGAAGAATCTAGACAAGACAGCTGAATTAGAAACATCTTCAGCATTAACAAAGGAGGTGAATGATAAAAAACAAAAAATCAATACATCACTTGTGATCTAGTAAAAGAAGTTCTTGATGCATATCAGATGTGTATCTTGGCTGGTGAAAAATTAATTCATAATGGCATAAACGTGCTAGACTTTACTCACTCAACAAATGAGATTAAAAAAGGACCACTTTCTATTGGCGTAATAAATATCCACAATGCTGATTGTACCAAATATTTACCTGATGACTTTAAAAAATATATTGTAAATCAGCTACAAGACCCCGAAATCAAGGCTATAAAATTTTCAAATGGAAGAACTATTAATAAGCTTCATGTTGATTGTGAGGAAGAAGTGTTGCAATTCCTGGATAAGTTCGATCATGTAATGAATTTGGAGTCTTTGGGAAAACATCTGGACAAAAATTCAATCAGTTATTTTTCTGCATCAAATGATCTGATATATGTTCAGAACCTCTTTCACTACTTCTACTTTTTATATAAAAACAACATCTTGCTTCAACCTATGTCCGAACACGAGTTTAACGCATATATTTGGACCCCCTTATTAAGAAATGCGTTTCTGGAAAAAACAGATATGAAATTAAGTTACAGAGAATTGGCCTCGAGATCATATAATAAATTAAAAGAAATCTTAAATGTTGCTGGAAATAGTGGCCCAAAGCTTGACAGAAAGGGATTTTTGAAATCATTAGGTACTGAAGTATTAGCACAAGAGGACGGAGTCCTTAATATGCATGGCAAGAGAACCAGCAATCTTAAAAAGTTGGAATATTGTACAAAAATAATCTTAACCGTTTTATATTTTGCACTTCCTACTACTGCAAAACTTAAAATTAGTAGTGATGTTAGCCGGCTAATAATCTGCATGCATAATTTCTAAATTTGGTAATAGATTTCTGCATTACTTTCTTG